AATGGGACATTTCTAAAAGTAACTCATACTGGTGATGCACTACTTGGGTCTGGACAGTCTGCTATTGTTCTAAGGAATGTTCTTCTTGTACCTGAGTTAGAAATGAGTCTATTATCTATTGGACAACTCACATTTGATTATTCAATAACTTGTGAATTTTCTAATAATGATTTTGTGATTAAGGACAAGTTGACGCAGAGGTGTTGATGAGGGGGCTAAAAAGGGGTAATTTGTATGCAATCCGAGCGCCTCTAGTGGCGTTGTTCTCCTCTAGATTTCGGGTTGCTTCAGAAGACATCTGACACTAATGTCTCGAGCATGTTCAAGTTGCTGCAGTGGGTCATCTTCGAAACAAAGCATTTATAATGACTATTTCCAATAAAGACAATTCCATATGTGAGAGTTGTCAATTAGGAAAATTATCTAAGTTGTCTTTTTCTTTATCTGAATCAAAAACTTCTGCACCTTTTGAGAAAATTCATAATGATTTATGGGGACTTCTCTTCTTACCTCTTTGTATCAGTTTCGATTTTATGCTGCTATAGTTGATGATTTCACAAAGTTTGTATGGTTAATTCCATTAAAGCAAAAATCAGACTTCTATGATCAATTCATTCTCTTTGAAAAGTTTGTTCAGAGACAATTTGATGGACCTATTAAGATAATTCAAACAGATGGGGGTGGAGAATTTGTTAATCACAAATTTAAAACACATCTTCAAAATTCAGGAATAAAACATCAACTATCATGTCCTTATACACATGAGCAGAATGGTATAGTTGAAACAAGGCATCGGGTAATTAGAGAACTCAACATTACTATGTTAACTCATGCCAATGTTCCTAAAATTTTGTAGGTTGAAGCTTTTAATAGTGTTTCTAATCAATCTTGTTCCAACAGCCACACTACAATAGGACTCACCCTTCTATCGGTTGTATGGCAAGAATCTCGATTATTCATCATTCAAAGTTTTTGGCTCAAGGTGTTTCCCGTGCATATGGGACTCTAAGAAGGATAAATTTGATAACAAATCACTGCCATGCGTGTTTATAGGTTATAGTGATAGACACAAAGGATATAACTGTTATTCTCCATCAAATAAAAGGTTTTATGTTTCCAGACATGTGGTCTTTAATGAATCATTTTTACCTTACAAAAAATTCAATGATCCCATTGACACAGTTACTGGAAAACAATCCATAACCTTTCAAGAATTTGACTCATGGTCCACTCCCTCTTGTGAGCACTTAGATCATTTCACTCAACCTGAAGAAGAAGCACCATTACCAACACCAAATGCTTAACTCAAAACAACAATCACTATAGGTGATCTTGTGTCGGGTTCACATTCAATCACTGCTGATCATCTCTTTCAGTCCACTACCACTTAACACTTTGAGGAACCCAATTCTGTTGTTGACAATACTAGTCATGTCTCCACAATTACTCCAACTCTTCAAAACTCTAGAAGCACTCCTCGTTCCATGATTACACGCAGTCAAGTGGGAGTTCAAAAACCAAACCCCAAGTATGCACTTCTACATGACTTTGATTCAATACCCAAGGAACCAAGGTCTCTTAAATCTGTTCTCAAATTCTGGATGGAAACAAGCAATGGTTGATGAACTTGCTACTCTACAACATCAAAAAACATGGAACTTGGTGCCTCGTACAACATCAATGAATGTTGTTGGATCCCAATGGGTTTACAAAGTAAAACTCAAAGCTAATGGCAAAGTGGAACGTCTCAAAGCGATATTAGTTGCTAAAGGCTATCATCAATTACCCGAGATTGATTTTACTAAAACCTGTTCACCTGTTGTGAAGCTAGTAACTATTCGGTTGATTGCAACTGTAAAAAAGTGGGATATAAGACAACTTGATGTAAAAAATGCATTCTTGCATGGGTCTCTAACCGAGGAGGTATTCATGAAGCAACCCGCAGGTTTTAGAGACTCAAATTTTCCAGATTCAGTTTATCATTTGAACAAAGCAATCTATGGACTTAAACAAGCTCCAAGAGCTTGGTTTGACAGATTTAGCTCCTACCTACTACAAGACAGTTTTTAATGCAGCACAGCTAATCCAAGTCTAATTATTTTCCATTCAGATCAAGGAACTTTGGTTCTCTTACTTTACATTGATAATATTATATTAACAGGTTCGTCTTCAAGTTTAATACAGGATTTCATCAACAAATTACATGTAGAATTTGCAATAAAAGATCTTGGAGTCCTTCATTATTTTCTAGGAATTCAAGTCTTGATCATTTCAATTGGGTTGTTTTAACAAACCAAGTATGTTATCGACATCCTGGAACACAGTGGGATGCATGAATAAAAACCCATCAAGACCCCACTATGTACCAAAACCAAACCTGACCCTAATTCACCTCTGTACCCTGACCCTCATGCATATCGATCTCTGGTGGGATCCCTTCAATACTTAACCTTGACACGTCCAGACCTTTCTTTTAGTGTGAATTATATCTCCCAATTTATGCATGCGCCTACTGAGTCACATTCTGGTTTGGTAAGACGAATCCTACGCTATGTCAAAGGAACAATTAATCTTGGTCTTCATATACAAGCTTCCAGTTCTCTTAATCATTATGGATTCTCAGACTCTGATTGGGCTAGGTGCAACGTCACTAAGAGATCAACAACTCGTTATTGTACCTTCCTAGGAAGCAACATCATTTCACGATGCTCAAAGAAGCAACCAACGGTCTCAAGGTCAAGTTCTGAAGCTGAATATAGAGCACTTGCTAAAGCAGCAGCTGAAATTACTTGGCTCACTTTCATTCTTCGTGATCTAGATGTCCCCCTATCTCAAGCTCCAATTCTGTTATGTGATAATATGAGTTCACTATTCATGACAATTAATCCAGTATTCTATGCAAGAAGCAAGCATATTGAAGTGGATTACCACTATATCAGGGAATGTGTGTCACTCGGGTTACTTGTTACCAAACACATCTAAACACAGTCTTAGATTGCAGATGTCTTCACAAAACCTCAATTGAAACCAGCTTTAGAATTGCCACGTGACAAATCGTGCATTTCAACAATGCTCAATTTGAGGAGGGATGATAAAACAGAGGCTACAATTGTGGATGAAGACTCGAAAAAGACATCAGTACTACAACTCAACAAAGCTCAACAATGCTCTGGCATGATAGCAAAATATGGAAACAAATCAGTAGTTAAAGGCTTGCGTGAAAATAGCCATGATCTTGTGAAATCTTGTAATTAACGTTAGTATGATTATAGCATTGTTTATAGTAGTTTGCAATGTAACCATTATTTTGTAAAGATATACAAAGTCTTATAAATACATAGTATCAAAGCCTATTATAGGTGTGACGAATTTCCCAACTCCTCTGTTTTTATTTTTTCTTCTGTCATCTCCACCAATTAGCTCTTAGAAGGCATCTCCACCAACCTCCGATTCAGAATGATATTTTGTGTAGTCATCTGCTAAAATTTCATTTAATTTAAGAATATGAATGAAAGCTCCCAACGAATCAAAAGAAATGAAGATCTTCACCAAATCAAGACAACTTATAAAAGCACTTATTAACTTAAGCTAAAAAGAATATAAATAGGCAGCTCCACTCCTCACAACGGGATCGATTATCGAATTCACATACTTGTTTTATAGAAAAAAAATAGCAAAGATACACTACTAGAAAGAGATTGACTTATCATTCTCCTAGAACACTTCAAATACTTGTAACCCTTAAGAGATCGTTCTCTTTATAATCTTCATTAGTGATCACAAAAGAAACCATAATACAAACATAATGGATGTAGGACTTGCTCATAGCATTCGAACTATGCTAAAAGTCTCTCTTGTCAGCTTGTTATTTACATACTAACTAACAAGCATCATCACTACATCATAAATACATCTCACAATTACCTCATATGTAACTTCTTAGCACTATACATATGCGTACTCATTGGTGTCAAAATCACGTATCAATAGACTGGAAGAATAGTAACAACACTGATTGCTACTTTCATTGTCGCTAGTTAATTTCAAAGTTTTTTATTACTATAAAATATGCCAATGACCCGTGAAACACAGTTTCAAATTTCTCAAATCTTGTGTTAAACTGACAGTCAATTTGGAAAAAGTAGCTTTGAGAACTTTGCTTTCTGCATATAATTTGCAGGTAATTTCCTGGAATGGTGCTCTGCCTCCAGACTTGAAAGATATTTCACCGTTAGAGGTTTCACAGTGGACTTCTAAGTCAATAAAAGGATAAATAGTATTTACACTCACTAAACTATTAATATTTGACTGTTAATTTGAGTAAATAAAGTCTGGGAGAAAATGAACATAATACAATGGTTTCATTTTCATATGCAAAATCAGCTCATCAACGAGCTTGACTTAAAAAGTTTTACCAAGAAATTAATTAAAACTTAAAAGACAGTGCAGACCTCGTAGGAAATGACGAAAAAGTCCTCATCATTCTTGATAATTCCTGGGAAATATTAGGCTTAGAAGAAATTGGGAAGTTAGCTCTCCTGGGTTGAATCACGGTTCTTAAGGCACTGGACATTTCAAGAGAATGCAGTGGCATGGTAACTGCAATTTTGACAGTTTCAAATGTATTAAGACCGAAAAATTTAGACTACTTTGGAATTCTATATGTTGATGATATTGAAGAATTCCCAATCTTGTTTAATGTTTTTTTTCTCTCCGTTGTTGAATTAGTCCTGGTTAAAATTAGGGGCTAAAACATGGTTTATCAACAAACTGTGGTTGTTCCAAGATGTGCTGACTAAATTAGACCATACAATTACAGAACTTTCTGTCAATAAGGGCAAAAGGGTTTGTATAATTTGAAGAGATCCGGACAATTGAATTTAAATTCATAAGAGAAAGAACACTGAGGCAGAAGGAGAAAACAGTTTGCTATTGCTAAAGTCGATTACATTACGTATGGCTGATACATGATACCAAAAGGAGAAAACTACTTTCAAACACTAATTTCTTCTTCTTTTCTGTTTGTTTTTAATCCTTCCCACCGTTTTGTTGGAATTCACTTCAACTGCGTTTACAAGCCATTGAGGCTTTCTTGTTGTGAACACAAGACATCCATAACCCATCAACACAACTTTCCAACCAAAATCTTTATTAGAGTCTGTATCAACCTCAATATGAGGTGGATACGAAGGGTCGCTGCATTCTGTTAATGGAGGTCCACATAATCCCAAGTTTCCTTCGTACGAGTCACTTGAGAAGGTATAGAATTGGTTCCCTTGAGGAATACGTCCCACAAGTTGGTTTTGCGACAGCTTCAGCAAAGAGGGAAATATCAAATTAGTTAACTGCCATGGAATTCTCCCGCTAAGTTTGTTTGAAGAAAGGTCTAAGACTTCGACTCCTTCCAAATTGCCCAACGATGGAGGAATCTGACCTGTTAGACTGTTTTGAGAAAGGTTGAGGTGATTAAGTGCTCGAAGCTTTCCAATTACTTCTGGAATCGTACCATTAAAGCTATTATTCGAGAAATCAATGGTATAGAAAACAGTAAGAATTTTCACTAGTTTAACCTCAAGCTTTTTAACTACAAGCGTCACTGAATCTTCATAATACCTGCCTCCCATATACTGAGGCTTCTTTTTAACTTCACCACTAACACTCATCATGGATTTCATATTCTCTAAATAACTCACAGGTAATAAACCATTAAAATTGTTGTTCGAGATTAGAACGAAGAACAAGAACCTGTAATGCCGGAAGGCTTCCCAACCATTTTGGGAAGGACTGGTTTATTTTGTTGTTTCCCAAATCTAGGACTTCTAACTTTGCACAATTAAGCAAAGATTTTGGGATTGGCTCTTTCAATTCATTGCCATTGAAGTTGAAGGTCCTCAAGTCATTGCCCTTTGTAAATACTCCAGGAATGTTGCCATAAAACTTATTCTCCCGCAGATCCAACACGCGCAAATTGTTGCTGAAGTGTCCCAAGCATTCTGGAATGGTGTTGGTTATTTGAGCATGTAAGGATGGTTATACGGGAGAGAAAAAAGAGAGAATAGCAAGAGAGAAGAAGGTCTTGTATATTACAATCATGTTACAGAAAATTACAGCAGAGTTTTTTTATGCATACAGATACTGTTGTACCTAATCATAAAACATATTTTAATCCAAAATAACTTCTTAACCATACATTCTTAGCAACTCTGATTATATCACGTTAAGTTGATATAAAGTTGGCAGCCAAATGCAAGCTGAATTTACAAAAAAATATCACTTCAGCATGCCTACAGACCAACTACGTGAACTGCTCCAGACCAGCCTCCAAGCTTCAAATTCTGCCCTTTTGCCGCCAGTTCACAGCTTCCAGCATAATCAAAATATTTGTTTCAAGCAAAATATCACTACTTTGAACAAATGGTACCCGTCAAGCTATTGTTGGAAAGATCAAGAACTTCAAGGGTACTCATATTGCAGGTTAAATGAGGTATTTCTCCTGTCAAATTATTGTTTGATACTAAAAAGACTTTCATGTCAGGTGGCGGAACTGGAATTGGTCCTTTGAACAAGTTGGAACGAAGGTCAAGATATTGAAGATTCTTCCATGGAAGTTGCTTGGCGCCTGTTACAAGTTGTAGGAAACATATATGTAAAATCGAATCAGATCTATAAACTCTACTAACTGTTTGAAAATATTTTTGGATCACGAATCAAAGGCACACTTAAGTTTCTTATAATTTTCCGAAATAGATTTAAACATGGTAGTTGTAAGATCAGTTAAGTTGTCAACGATATGAACAATGGTAATGGCATCAACTCAGCCACACCGTTCTGAAGATAATAGAACCCAGGAACTTCCTTTTGTCTCAGCCTATGTTTTCTGGAATTCTTGAGTCAGTTGACTATTATAAGTAATTTTTTTCACACACCGATTCTCCTATAATCTATTTTTATATTCGAACTCAAAAGTAACACGAGTTGTTTTTTCACAATAGAAATCTGCTTGCGATTAGTAAAATGCCAAAATGACTTCCAAATAATTTATTATTTTAAAAAATAAAATTGCTGTCAAAATGTCATTGGCAGGCAATTGTTATCATTGGCAACCGCCAACTGGCCATCGAAAACCGGCCACCAATATCGGAGAATATCACCACAGGCGTCCGACAATATTCTAAAAATTATTCTTAATAAAATTGTTAATAAATTACAAAAAAAAAAAAAGAAAAAAAAAGAAAAAAAAAAGAGTAAACTACAGTTTATCAGGCAACCTATAACTTTGGGTTATAATTGATTAATTTCAGAACACAACTATAAGTGTGATAATGGTAAAAGCTACATAATTCCAAATGCACCCTGATTCCTAAATAAATAAATAAAATTCTCAGTATAGATAAGAAAAAAGGTCAAGATATTGAAATAGGAGTGATTAATTTCCAAAAGACATAAATATTACAATTTTAAGTGCAATTAAATCAAATTATTAAGAATAATAAAGGAAAGAAAGTTTGTTATCTTACCAACCGTTTTTGACTGCTCATAAAGAGTTCTACGAGGGATGTCGGGGTCGGAAGAGTCAAGGCAACTTAATAAGAAAATAAAGCAAAAACAGGAGAATCTGCAAATTATATGAATAATAACGTATCTGTTCTATAAGTTTAGAAAACCAACTTACAAGTTACAAAGAATGATGTCCTCATGCTATACCCGAACAACTTAGTAACTATAGCAGCGACACCAGTTTTTATAACGATAACCGGAATAACAGATGCTAACAAAATGTTGATATGGTTCGATAAAAAATGTACATGTATAAGCATTCCAATACTAGAAAGGAAGAGAGCCGCAAACAAGTTACGAATTGGTTCCACCTACAGTGCAGAATTGCATCAAATTCAGGAAATATGTCCAAATATCCTCAGAAATGAAACTAACAAAAGAAAAAAAATTGTTAGTGACAACCATAATAATGCAGCATCTTCAATGCACAAATCCCTGTGATAATTGATATTTCATGAGTTCACCCACTCAATTTCAGGGCTTAATGAAAAAGATTGCAAATTGGCACTTATGCTGTTTCAAACAAATTACAAGCTATAAATCCTATCGAGTTTATAGTAAAAAAAAATAAATAAATAAAGCATGAAAACTTAAATTACGATATAAGAGGCTATATACAACAATGGATAAAAAGATCAACATAGAAAGAAAAAAATAACACAGAGAGAGACAGATTTGCTAACGAAAATACAAAAAACTTAACATTAAAAGCACAGAAAAGTACCTGGTCTAAAGTATGTTGCGCAAAGTCAGTGGTGGATATCATAACTCCAGCCATAAATGAACCCAACTCAAGACTAAGGCCGAGCTTATCACTGCACTGAAAAGGAACTCCAAAAGAATCTATTGTCAAAGGGGATGACTACTTAACAGGAAAATTACAAATTGCAGAAACAGTAAATTTAAACTTGGAAGGATATGTAGTTCAATATTCAAATTCAATCAAGATAAGCATTCATAAACCTTTATAAAACAAAGGACTGTGTATTGAACTTACCCAAGCAGATAATAAGCAGAAAGCAACAGCAGCAAGCTGATAAAGTTCATTTGTCTGGATAGAAAAATAAAAACAGAGTGAGCTTACAAAGAAAATCCTAATAAACCAGATATGTAACCTAGTGAAGGTGCAAAATGCAAAATAGGATTAAAAAAATATACATGTAAAACTTACTTGAGATGATAGTTGTATCATTAGTTTTAGAAAGCGGGGAACAAAAGTCCAGGACAAAATATAAGCAGCAATGAGATATACGGACAAAACCAGCAGCCTGAAGTTACAGACACAATTAAAAGGTAAACAACAAGAAGAACATTCATAATAAACAATTAAAAAAAAAAGGGCTCAAACAAACTTACAGCTTTCCCATTGAAACCATTCCTTGTAAAGGGCCACTATTGCCACCCAAAACTGGAAGCAGAGCAAATAGTAAACCAACGGCACAATCCTGATATAACAAGAGGTCAAGGAATGAAGGGATGTACCCAGCATGAAATCTTCCAACTCAAAATGCAATTTATAGAGAAACTGAAATTTGAATATTGAGTGTGTATATATATATATTTGAAACAATACCTGAAAAATAAGTGTTCCAATTGTAACTTGACCGTGCAGAGCATTATTACTATTATGTTCAACTAAAAATTTTACCACCTGGTGCACATACAGCAAAGCATCACCCATACATAAAAATTTGGAAAGTGGAAGCCAAGATGTATAGAGGAACTCTAATGTCAGAAATATAGAAAATTAGTCTAAAAGAATACCACTGCTGTAGATGACATTGACAGGAAGGAACCAGCAAATACACCCTCTGATAACTTTGCTCCACACAACTACAAATTCAGCAGATAGTTCAAGTTTAGCATCCATTTACATGGGAATCATAACTTTGAGACATTGTTTCGAAACCAAACCCAGATGCTATCAGTAGCATACCAGAGCAGTTATGGAACACAAGCACATAAATATCACAATCTGTAGCATCCCTCCAAGAACAGCAACAGGCCCCACTGCTTTTAACTGCATTGATGTAAATGAGAACAGATCTTATAAAGAGAGAAGAAAATCTGTCATAAATTATCTTGTTTCTCACTCTTGAAGAATCCTAAGTCAGATCGTCCACTGCAGAAGCTACTATTAATGGTTAAGAAGGCAAGTAACACAATAGAAAGAATGGTTGCAGGAGCAGCAACAATACTCATGGATTCTTTCATTGTTTCTACTTACTTACTCAGTCCTTCTTCTACCATAAATATGATGAATGAGCGTGTAAAACAATCTCATATTTCTCAGCTTAAGTATTGACCTGGCAACCAATTTTCCAAAGTAGGTCCAGAACCCCATTTTTCCGCAAAAAAGATGAAAGGAGCTCTCCTGGAATATCGCTATGGGTCAAGGTTTTAAATGTTTACAGTTGTTTTATGTCCCACCGTGTACTCCTATGGTAATCAAGTCAAGAAGGAATATAATTGCGGAATGGAAAATTCACACTTGTAGGGTTGTGTATTGGTATTTATCCATCGGAACTGAATCAAATAACATATATTCTAATCCAAAATTTTTATTGCACTTATTGCTAAAATTTCCCCCAATTGAAAAGAGAAAATGATTAGTCAGCTGTTTGCCAACCATCTAGTCGATTGATGACTGAATTGACCATTTATAGTCTAAAATTTAAAGTAAAGGACTGACATATTTTCTATGATATCAATGTCAAGTAATTTCTAATTTCATCAATCTCTTTCTGATCTATAACGTTGCATAATTGATCATTCTTCTATTGGGTTTTCTCTCTTATATGGAAAAAGCCCAAAAGCCCATGTGGTTTATTAAGCCCACATGGAGAAGTGGCATTTTGTCTATTACTCTTTTGGATGGGCGCGGGCCGGGGCAGGGGAAGGGTTGGGGATCCCATTCCCTGGCCCATCCTTGACCCCTAGGGGATTCCCTAGGCCCAGCCCGTCCCAAAGGTCAAGGATGAAAGGGAAATCTTGGGCCTGGTCCATAGGGATTGGGTTCTTTGGGCGGTCAACATTTACGATGGGCTTTAGAATTCTTGATTGTGTGCTGGGTTTGGGCTTTAGGATTATTGATTGTGGGTTGGGTTAGGATTTTCATGGGCTTTAGAGCCTTAGACTTTTTATTTTTTATTGTTTTCAAGTGCATTAACATTTGTATCTAATTTTTTGAAGTACAAAGGTTTTTATTTGAATATTTAACTCTTATTTGAATACAAAAACATCTATTATTACCCATTTGCATAATTGTATATGATTTCACTCAATGTTCCCACAATTATAATCACATTTTATCAATTAATAGTGTGAAAACAATAACTATTAAAGTGGTAATTTCTTGACAAATGTGATTTTTTTAGAAAAGAAAATGAATAAGAGAAAAGCAAAATTATTGGACAAATTAATTACAAATATTATTTAAAAGAAATGTCAAAAATTAATTGATATGGACTTGTTAAATATTTCCCATGATCAATTATAATATGTAGTAAGATTGTTAGGAATAACATTAGTAACTTGTTAGATATGTAGTAAAATTAGATATTAGAATTTAGAAAATAATCAATTATTATTGTCTAAAATTAGATTTTAGACTTATGTGATACAGTTTATTGTGTCTCTTCGTCTTTATAATATACATAAAGTTCATCTTCCTTCTTTTAATTAATTGGTAATTTTAATTTACAACGATTTTAATTTGTCCTTGTATAAAGTTCCTCTTCATTCTTCTAATTAATTTGTTTAGTTTTCTTCATTGATTAATTTTCAACTATTCAAATTAATATAAGATTAACAAGATTTATTGAATATTGATAATATTGAATAGAAAAGATCATATATTAAATTTTTTAAATGAAATGATATTATATATGCAGGGTGGGGAATTATTTCTCTTTCAGGGATTCCCCAAGCCATTCAAGGCAGGGCGGGGACCTGCCTAAGTGGGTCAAACGTCCATATCTAATTACTCTTATTTAGGGTTATAGCATATTTGGCGGGTTTATTTTTTGTTGTTACTGTGAGGGTGTGAGAGTAAAAACACAAAACAAATTTCAGTTTCATTCTACTCCAATCAAACTTTATCAAGCACTCCGATGGAAGATCATTTGTTGTTAGATTGATCGTGTGTGTCAATTTTCTTTATTCACATAATTTTTATTCCAAATTTCATATATTTGATTTATGTTTATGTGTTCAAATTAGTTTTGAATTATATTATTTCTTTAAACTATCATAGCTAATTATATACAATTTTTTTTTTTTTTTATCTTGTATTAAATATATATAAATTATCAAGGTAATGAAAATTATATCATTTATTACTAAGTATATAGCTCTATTTATTTTAATCAAAAGTTCTCTTATACAGTAAAACCTCTCTATAGTCATAATGGCGAGACTAACTAATTTTATTACTATAAGGAGTTTATAACTTAATGGAGGTGTTGTTACAAAAATTATAGTTTTGATTTTTGATTTTATAATTCATGATTTAGTAGTATAGTATTAGGATTTAAATTTATATTTTAGTAATATTAGGATTTCAATTCAGCGTTTCAATTGTCTGCTTTTGAAACGGATAAAAGATCGTTTCTTAGAACCAGCAAAAAGAAGTATTATTGATGGAACTGTAAATGAAGTTGATGCATGGTCAATTAATATGAAACCACAAACAATTGTTTATGGTTTTAAACGCTGCAAAATTAGGACCAGTAATGTCAATGAATTATAAGTTACAAATGAAGTGGACGAGGAGAATAAAATAGCTACTATAGAATTGAGTGATCAGATTCGACAACTTCACTATACTAATCGAATGGATATTAATGTCTTCTTCGATTATCCAAATGAGCAACAACTCGTATATGTTTTAACCAAAGGAGAAATCATTGTTGTAATTAGACAAGAAAAGAAAGGAAATAATCCTAAGGATAATAGTACGGAAATACAAAAAGTTTTATGCCATGAAGCTCTAAACATGCTTGAGAAACTAAAAATATTTTGGCTTCAACAAAAAGGTATCCATGCTAACGAGCTATTATGTACTCGTAAGATAAGAGATGTGATAACAACTCTAAAAAATAAATCATTGTCCCAAACAATTTTAAATAAATATTTTATTTCATTTTAAACCTTTAATTTTACATAATATTAATTTTTTTGTAATATACAAATAATTATTACTATGTAGAGGCAACTTTCCTTAAGGCAGGAATTAGAAAAATTATAACTTATTACATTGTAGAGTTTATTCTTATTTATAACTATCCCAAATTGGGACTAAGTTTTTATGACTATGTAGAGTTTATTATTATATAGAGTATCACTATAAAGAGATTTTACTGTAATATTAAGTTGCATCCAAAATATTTGGAAGTATTCCAAAGAGGTCGTTTTTTCCGGAGATGTAATGATCGAAGCAAACTTAATGATCCAATAGATGATGGAAGGTTACCAGTAAATTTATTGTTATCTAAATTCAACATATGCAATTTTTGCTAATTCGTCCAACAATCACGTAATTCTCTAGATAAAAGATTATCTTAAGTTTGAGAAACACCATTTTCTTTGACTTATTTCTTTTATTCACAAAAAATGTAAAATAGGACTTGAAAAAGCATTGTTGGAAAGGTGCAAAAAAGTTATTTTGAAGGATATAAGAGGTAATGAACCTGACAATTTATTTGAGAATAATGTTACGGACACCCATAATTTGTACTGAATTGTTGTACCGATGTACGTGGCATCGAATTAGACGTAGCCACATTGGAAACAACACACGTCTTCCGTGAATGAGCAACCATCCAATAATTATGGATGCTCATCTATATTTGATGGACGATCGTTCATCACAAATGGACGAGCATCTACGAAAATAACAATAGACTTCCGTCCATATTATTTGGACGTGAGCCCATCTACTATGGACGGGCGTTATGGACGCCCGTCCATAAAATTTTAGAAATAAAATAATGGATGCCCATCCATATAATATGGACAACCATCCATCACCAATTCACCATCTATAATATGGATGCCCGTCCACCAACAATTCACCATCTATATTTTTTAATGGAAGGCCAAGCCCTTGACTCTGGACAAGCGTCCATTTTTTAGGAGTTTTATTTTCTAAGCATTTTTTTTTTTTTTTTTGTTTTGTTTTAAGTGTAGTGGGCATAGCAGGAGCACATTTGATGCCACACCTTCAATGTTGGTTGATTATGAACAAAAAGGCTTGACTTTGGACCGGCGTCCATTGTTTGGGAGTCATAGCAATGTGTTTATTTTCTAAGCATTATTGTTTTATCAATGGATCTTATTAAATGGTTGTTGGGCTTCAATGGATGTTTGTTGCTTTTTGTTTTTTAAGACTTTTTTTGGGACCCTAAATTTTTAAACCTGAAATTTTATTAAAGTCTTTTTATTTGCTATGTCAATGGACGACCGTTCATCTAATAGGGACGCTCGTCCATTGAATATGGACGCTCGTCCATATTATATGGACGGGCGTCCATTATTATTGTTTTATAGTTTTATGATTTAAACTATGGATGCACGTCCATTCACGTAAATGGATTCCCGTCCATATAATATGGACAGAAGTCCATTGTTATTTTCATAAATGAACAATCATCCAACAATCATGGATGCTCATCCATATTTGATGGACGTACATTCATTCGTAGAATACTTGTTAGTGTGCTACGTGGTTGCGTCTGATTCAGATGACACATCGGTCAATGCAAAAATTCAATGTAAACCTTTGATGTTTGTAGCATTATTGTTTATTTGAACTCAAGTCAACAGTAATGGATCGATCAGCCTAGGTTAAATTTGGAATCTCTCCATGGGTTTGGTAATGAGAGAGATTTATATTTAAAAATGAGTAGTCCAAAACCAAATCGAAAGTGTATCAACAGTTCCTACGTTGGATATGTCCAAAGTAATTAGTTGTTTTTTTGTGAATATGGTCGTGAAGGAAATAAAGGCCCTAAATGACAA